TCAAGTTTGCAAGCAATAAGACTATTATGCCTCTGAAAAAGCTCAGATGATGGTGTCAAGGTTTTGGAAGTTACTAATTGGCTAATGACAACATTTGAGTTAATTGGAGGCACAACTGTAGAATAGTATTTAAGGTAAATCTCCAACACACTGCTTCCTTGTGTGACAACATGGGAAAATCAACAAGCCAGACTCAAAAAAAAAAAAAAAAAATTAAATTAAAAATTTAAATTAAAAAATAAAAACAGATTACAATTTGCAAAATTACACTGGGAAAAATAATTATTTTTGGAGACATGTCCTGTGGTCTGAAGGAACTAAGATTGAACTGTTTGGCCATAATGACCAGTGTTACATTTGGAGGACAAAGAGGAAAGATTACAAGCCTAGCAACACCATCTCAACTGTGAAGTATGGGGGTGGCAGCATCATGTTGTGGGGCTGTTTTGCTGCAGGAGGGACTGGTTCACTTCACAGCATAGATGGCATCATGAAGAAAGAACAATATGTAGAAATACTGAAGCAACATCTCAAGACATCAGCCAGGAAATTAAAACTTGGCCATAAATGGGTCTTACAAACAGACCGTGACTCTAAGCATACTGCCAAATTTGTTAAAAAGTGCTTTAAGGACAACAGAGTGAATGTTTTGGAGTGCCCATCACAAAGCCCTGACCTCAATCCTATAGAAAATTTGTGGGCAGAATTAAAAAAAAAGCTTGTGCGAGCAAGACAGCAAACTAATCTGACTCAGTTACACCAATTCTGTCAGGAGGAATGGGCCAAAATTTCTTTAAAATAGTGTGAGGAGCTTGTGGAAAGATACCCAAAACATTTGACAAAACTTATACAGTTTAAAAGCAAAGCTAAAAAAAATACTAAGGAAGTTTATGTAAATAGACCTAAAATAAAAAAAAAAAACATTTAGTATGATTTACCAACATTTTATTAAAAAATGGCTCTTCCTTTTTTAGAGTTTAAACTTCTGGTTCGAACTGTACATACATACATACATACATACATACATACATACATACATACATACATACATACATACATACATACATACATATACAGTTGAAGTCAAAATTATTAGCCCCCCTGTTTTTTTTTTTCCCAGTTTCTGGGATATATATATATATATATATATATATATATATATATATATATATATATATATATATATATATATATATATATATATATATATACATACATACATACATACACACATATATAATTGGGGAGGGGGGCTTTTTTTCTTGTTTGGAAACCTCCAGAGAGCCAATCTCATTTGAATTGCAAAGCTTGAACCACTGAATATTCTGTCAATTGATTGTCAAAGAACTGGATGTCCCCACTGGATTGAGAGGCAGGGCTATATTTAGAGTGTAAGTGGTCATGTTGCCCGCCTGTCTGTATCCACATCTCTAAGTGTGCATGTGTGCCCTTTGATGAAGCACATAAATAATGCAAGGTTAAACATAATGCGTTTTTTCCTGAATATGAATAGCTGCATATGATCCAGGTGCTCTGTGTGTGGCTTTGTGTACCGTCCAGATTGCATTACAGGTGTGAATAGCGGTGATTGACATGCTTGGTTTTAATGAGCGTGTGTGGTTTGTTTGGTTGGGTACACTGTGCCCCATCTTTGTGTTTTTTTCTTCTGCTCGGATAGTGATGTCAGAACTGTGAAGCGACAGTGAGGTGTAAATTATGGATCAGTACTTTCCAGCGGAACGTGGGTGTGTGTTTGTCTGTAAATGGATTCCTAGAAAACGCTGCTGCTATACTGTAACATCACCACTCTCACAATGTTTCCGGATGAGTTCCCTTTCAGGGCAGGCCAGAGAGGTAAAATAGGCCAGGGCTGTCCCCGTTACGTCATTTGAAATCATTTGAGAGTCTAGCAGCACTAGTTGGGTTTCCAAAACCCAGGGTTGATGTGCATTTTGAAGTAATGCATGAGTAAACTAGTGATAAAAATGCCAAATTTCAAATAAAAATTCCTTAAATTGCAAAAACGTTTTTACGCTCACCTGAGGTGGTGTTGGACTTGTGTAAAAAGGGTTTTTAAGAATTCTAGAGTGGGAGAGAGCCCTGAGCTCAGAAGATCCTCGAGCCTGGGGCTCCCTTCTGTTTGAAAGACGAGAGGGGAATTTGAGCTCAAGTAGGTCTCGAGAACTCCCCTGTTTGTTATGGCTAATGACTTAGGAATTGTTATGAGATATAGCTGACTAAGAGTTTGTCTATGATGCCACTTTGGATTAGTCAATTCACTTGTTGGACAGTGGGAGGAAACCAAGGAACCCAGGAGAAGCTCATGGAAGCACAGGGAGAACATATAAACTCCACAGAAATGTGGACTGTCCTGGTAAGGATTTTACCTAGTGGCATTCTTGCTGTGAGGCAACAGGGCTAACCACTGGGCTGCTGTGCAACCCTGTCTAGGAAAAGGGAGAAGAAGAAGGGGTGGAAGGGGGGAATTTTTCAAGACGAAGATGACTGAGGTAAGAAACTCTGGTTGGACGGTGGGAGGAAACCAAGGGGAAACCCATGCAAGCACTTTGAGAACATGTAAACTCCACACATAAACGTCAACTGGCCTTGTAAGGATTAGAACCAGTGACATTCTTGCTGTGAGGCAACAGTGCTTACCAGTGGGCTGCTGTGCCACCCAATCTAGGAAAAGAGGATGAGTAGGGTTAGAAGGGGGGATTCATCAAGACAAAGATGACTGAGATTATTTATAGTGAGTTAGGATTCATCTGATTGGTGCATCGTGTTAGCTGATGCGGGACCAGCTGTGATCAATCGTAAGCATGTGATCCTCGAAATGAGTTTATAAATAAACCACACAATGTGAATATTAAAAATAAAAATGCATTTGTCCAATAAACTGTTACATAGGAAGCAATACACCCACATGACTAGTCCGTCCCCATTATGCTTACCTTGTGTATTGTTGGTTCCTTGGTTCCCAATTCTAGTGTAAGCACTCTTGATGATTTTTTTTTCTTTTTATGCAAACCATAACAAGATTTGTTTCACGTTAGGATGGAATGCTAAATACTACTATATAATCAGCCCCTGTACCTTCCAAAAAGTTTTCTTCATGCAGAGAATAGGATATTAAAAAGGTTTTGACAGTTATAGCGTGATTTACTATGGTCATGTATGCCTTTGTAAACATGCATGCTCAACCTCAGTTATGACATGAGCAGATTACCTGTAGGTGAGTGTATTATAGGTTTAGGTGAGTTTATTGTGTGCCAGGTAACATGCTGGAAATGCAGGATAAAAAGACAGTCGTAGCTTGGGGAATATTCTTTCAACCACTTCATTTGAGCGTAAAATATTTTTTTTATATCCTTTATGGAGGTTGTGGTGAAATGTATGTTTCCATATTTTCCGTTCTCTCGATTTGAAAAGCTACTGAAATGTACTTAGAGTAATGCAAAAGCACATCAAGTTTTCAGTAGAAAAAGATATGGTTCAACAGATTGGAGACCTCTAGAGATCTGATCTCATTTAAATTGCAAAGTCTAAATCACTGAAATGTTTTTGTCAAAAAAATTTATGTCTCAGGCAGTTTTTATTTATTTATTTACTTTCAAAATGTGTACTGTTGCCTTTAATTTTATTGCTCATTCAGCAAGTATCCTACACTACAGGGATGCTTCACTTGGAGCAATCTTGCTCAAGGACAGTAATAGCTTCAGGGTTCAGTCCAGGTTAACAGCCCAGATTTGCACTTGTTAAGCTCCATTATTATGTACAAAAGACTGTTTGTAAGGTCCACTTAACTTCAACAATAATAACATAAGACAGTCTTCCACTTGGCATTACAGTTCTACCCTTACCAAATCAGTGCCAACACACTCAGCTGGCATCCTATTAGTGAGAGAGAGCAAATGGAAAGGGGGTTTTCTCTTTGACTAAACTAAAGCCACGTGATTTCCTCTTAACACTTCATCCGTCATGAATGGATCAGAGGCACAGTCAGAGGTCCTGTTCCATTTGTGGCATTTACCAGCTGCACATGATTGGGATGAATTGATTTATCTGTTTATTGATTGGGCTTGTATGATGGATGAGAGATGCCCGAGGGTGGGTTTTGTGTATTTGTGTATAGTTGATTTTCCGGTTGCATCAAGCAGAATCTCAGGAGAGTTGTGTTTGTTTTACAGCAGTAGGTCCTTTTTTTTACAACTTTTTACACTCCTTTCTGCAAAAATAAAGGTTCTTTAAAATAAATACTATTTATCCATATAATGACTTGCATACCAATCGTATATCATGAATACAAGAGTGAAGGACTTGTGTCAGATTCTTACACCGCTAAGAACGCATATTTTAAGTGCATGATTTTGTTCTGTTTTGTTTTTGTATATGCCTACATCACTCCACCAAATGCTGAGCATGTTGTATTTGCTGCTTAGATGCTTTGTGTTTTACCATTTGTGTTATTAGAATGTAAATAATATTGAATTTACAGTGTACATTATTAATATTATGTTAAGTTTGATTATTGTTTTAAATAACGTAGATACTCAGCAATCATAGTCGACAACCATGCTCCTGGAGGGAAACCATAATGCAGAGTTTAGCCCAGATCAAACATACCTGAAGCAACTCCTCAAAGCATTCAAGACTACTAGAAAATATCAGGCAGGTGTTTTGGATCCTGGCTGTAGCTATAGTGTACAAAAGGAAGTTTTCCTGGAGCAGGGATGTCCAGACTCGGTCCTGGAGGGCCGGTGTCCTGCAAAGTTTAGTTCCAACCCCAATAAGAAACACCTGGGGTAGCTAATTAAGCTCTTACTAGGCATTCTAAAAACATCCTTGCAGGTGTGTTGAGGCAAGTTGGAGCTAAAATCTGCAGGACGTCAGCCCTCCAGGACCGAGTCTGGACACCCCTGTCTTGGAGCAAGGTTGACCACACTTAGTGAAGATACATCCATTATACACTATACTAAAATGACCTCTTATTTTCTCAGGTGCCCCAGAGGTCACGTGCGTGTGGGGAACAGCGGGCCACTCTGCAGGAATTACTGCGCTGGCGGAGAAGTGTTTGTGATGGCCGACCAGACTGGCAGAACGCTTGGCTCCACACAAACACCTCACCCACCCTAACAGTTAAGACCAAGAGCCCCAGAAAGAAAGCGTCACCCTAGAGACTGTGGTCTTGCTGAGTTCCCCCTCAGTTAAACCCCACTCCTTAGGCCTGATGATGCCCTTATGTTTTACCCCTTGCACAGGGGTAGCCTCTACAGTCAAACTCAGAACTCATGAGAGGATGGCGTTCCATCCAAAGTTGTTCTTCTTCCTCTTCATTTTTGAAATGGAAATTTGCTTGACGTCATCTCTACAACTAATCGCCAAATAACATGGAGACCCCCAAGGACTACAGAGCCCTATCCTGAATAGTCATTGCCAGGCAGACGAAAGGGAATATGGCTTCTATTAATCTCCTTTTACAGTGTCCTAAATGTAAAGCCTTTTGGAGAAAAAGAATCTCATGTCGTCTTGATTGCTACTCATCAATGCTATCTTAGGGCTGTGCAAACATATCTCAACTGTGCTGCTGTGTGTTATAGTCTCCATCGTGGGCCATATTTTAGGTTTAAACCCTGGTGCTGGTTGCTCCACATGTGGCTGTTGTTGCCTGGGTTGGGTAAAAAGTGCCAGTTCTGTTCCAACTCGAGCACCTGAGGCATGTGTTAGCGACTGACCTTAAAGTTTACAAGACAAAAAAAAAAAAACTTTGTGTTGGCCTCTTGGTCTAGCTTTGTGAACTAAGTCCTTCAGGTTCAGAGAAGCAGCTACACCTCATGCTTTTTTCAGGTGCTTTGGTTACCCTCTATCAGAGGTGGCAACCATCACACACAGGTTGTGACCTTGCAAAAAGGTCAGGGTTCAGGGAAATCACGAGTAACATCATAGGTCTACAACATTTCCACCAGCTTCTGGACTGAATCCATCATTAAATCTAAGCTAATTTGTGGAAACTTCTGCTACAAGAAACCGTTAGATTTCAGAAGAAGAACTTGAAGATGCTTGATTTATATTGAATGGTTAAAGAGCACAATTCTCCAAATGCAACACTAGATGGAACAACGATTCCTAGTGATGGATACTACTGCCGATTTGACTGATCTATTGTTTGTGGACCTTCTTCTCAAAGGTGCTTATGTATGAATGCTTGGTTGTATGAAAACATGTTAGTACCTTAGTACCCATGTACAAACAGCACAAGTTCCAGAATGTTCATCTCTCCTAAAGTGAAGGTACGCAGATGCCCACAAAATAGTTCAAGGCATTTGATTTAGCCATAGTGCGCACATACAGATTTATTACCTGAAAGACCTTGGGTAAATATTTTTGTGGATCTTACACACTAGGTTTAAAACTAGAGACCAACCATGATCATGAGTTGAGCTTTGCAACTGACAAACAGGCACTTTTCTGAGAATAAGCAGAACTTCAAGTCCTTCAGGTTTGGGGCGAAAAGATGGGTTATGTACAGATTGTGAATGTTGAAGTATGATGACAAAGAATTATTGTCTTTATAATAGAAAGATGTCCCTAAATGTCCAGGGACGTAATGGAAAAAGGATTAAGATGGTTTTATAGTGTGAATATCATTTTAGTACAGGATGATTGTTTATTCATGGTGAATTCTTTAGCCGTTCCCCATCCCAACAGGACTGTGGTCAATGTATAAAAATATTTAATGTATTGTACAGAACGTTGTGTTTGTGCAAGAATGTTTGAGTTGCACTTTGCCGCTGTTTTGTTTAAGCTTCATTAAGAGCGTTACTCCATGCCTGTGTGCTTATTCTGAAGGCGGCGTCTTGTCTTGCTGGGTAAAATGGGGTCCCTAAATGTTAAACCTTATAAAAGAACGCCCATGCAGCCCCCTCCAACATAGTGATCCATCTCAAGGTCTTGATTTTTGAATGTGCATAGATTAAGTCAGAGAATTTGTCAGAGAACTTGTTATAGTTTAAGTGACACATTTTTTATTGATTGTATTGAAACTTGAATTTTCAAGGTGAAACTAGATACAAAATTCAATCAACACTGTAGAGATGAGTTTAAAGGTCCAGTTTTGGAAGTCATTCTTTCTGGCTCTATAACTCATATCAAACAGCTCTATAATAGGCTTATGTATCTCATATCTCCTGTCTCTTATCTTCCCAAGTAATGTGAATAGTCCCTTTCCCCATTCCATTGGACGGTGGTTTAAGCATCTTTCACTGCTGTGCAGTCCTGCAGATCAGAGACGCATATTAAAATCACTGTGCAGGCCAGTGTTGAAGAAGACTGAATATCATTTCGGTGGATATGACTAGAAAAGCTGCTTTGCATTGCTATTGCTTAACAGGGTTACGGTACTATTATTTGAAGCATTTATTTATTGACAGAAAATTGCTATTTTATAATGTCTATGGTATTGGCTTATCGTCAATATTTAAAAAAAGAATGAAAAGAACTGTACAGTATGAGCCCAATTTTTTTACTCTGTTGTTAAAAAAGGAACGTATGTTAACGCATGAGATCTCTCTTAGGTACATGGCCCGTCTGTATGTTTTTTGCTGTGCTTAGTCTGATACGTTGTGGAGATATACACATCATTGCCCTCTCTGTCTGATACTATGGAATCATCCAGACGTAAATGTTATGAACTTCCTCTCACCCTCCAGCCCAACACAGCCTCATATTAATGGACCTGATTTGATTTTGAACAGTAGCCAAAAATGGTTTGGCTAAGCACAGTGAGTGTTGAACATATCCCAGTGTTGTAGTCGAGACCAGCTCATGCGAGTCAGTCAAAACTGTAGCCAAAAAAGTCCAAGAACATCATTACATTAACCTTTGGTCTCGGTTTTGATTTGCTGATTTCTACTATATATGTCTCGACAAATGAAAGCAAACCCATTCATATCTCAGCTCTTGCTCAAATACGCAGAGTTCAATGAAATACTGAAATATCATAAGTGTTGCTGTCTTTTGTAGTCGATGTGTTTTAGTTTGTTTGTTTTTTTAGTTTATTCTGATCCTTGTGTAAATGATATATAAAAATGACTATTACTTCAATACATGTTTGTGGGAAAGAAGAGAAATGTATGTCTTGGTACATATTTTGTTTTGAAATGTTTTATAAAACTCCTGTACAGCAATAAAGCACAGCGTCAGTCAACTGACCTAAAAAAAAACTACTTCAATCTCTTCATGCAAATGTTTTTTTTTTTTTTTATTCTATTGCATCATTTTACTTTTGTTTTTGTTTTTCCCATAAATGTGTTTGCTATGTTTTATGATCATGTGCTTACATTCATATAGTCTTATGCAAAAAGTTTGGCACCCCTCTACCCCTGCATATTAATGTGCTCTTTCTTTATAAGAGAAGATCACAGTGAAATAGCATTCAGTTTCTAGAGAAAGCTAGATAATGTCATGTTTTTTTTTTTTTTTTGATGGAAATACATAGTGTAGCAGTATTGAGATGTGTGAAATTAAATTGAAACTGAAAAAATAGCTATGCAAAAGTTTGGGCACCCTCTCTTTTTGTTTGGATTTCAAAACATGCTGTTATAAAATTGACTTGGCAATCCCTAACAATCCCAACACAGTTGCAACCAATCATGACAAATTATATTTAAGATAACTGATGGCTAATTGTGCTTCTTATTGTGAACCTGAAAGTAACAACATGGGAACCTCAAAGGAACCTCCTAATGGTTTAAATAAAATCACAAAATTGCTATCTTTACAGTCGGAAATATAGTAAGAAATTGGAAAGCCACAGGAAGTGTTCTTGTAAAGGAAAGATGTGCTAGACCAAGGTTACCAATCTCGTTCCTGGAGGTTTGGTGCCCTGCAGAGTTTAGCTCCAACTTACCTCAGCACACCTGTCTGGGTGTTTCAAGTATACCTAGTAAGACTTTGATTAGCTTGTTCAGGTGTGTTTGATTAGGGTTGGAGCTAAAATCTGCAGGACACTGGACCTCCAGGAACAAGTCTGATGATCCCTGTGCTAGACCAAGAAAAATATCTGAAAAGCAAAGGCGAAGAACGGTAAGAATGGTCACAGACAAACCACAGACCACCTTTAAAGAGCTCATTGTGCATCGTTCCACAGTTCAGCACATTCTTCACAAAGAAAGTGGGTAGCGCTGTTGCCTCACAGCAAAAAGGTCACTGGTTCGAGCCTCGCCTAGGTCAGTTTGTGTCTGTGTGGAGTTTGCATGTTCCCCAAGTGTTCGCGTGGGTTTCCTCCAGGTCCTTTGGTTTCCCCCACAAGCCCAACGACATGAATTGGGTAAGCTAAAATTGTCCATAGTGTATGAGTGTGTGTGAATGAGTGTATATGGATGTTTTCCAGTGATGGATTGCAGCTGGAAGAGCATGTGCTGCATTAAACATATGCTTGATAAGTTGGCGGTTCATTCCGCTGGGGCATTCCCAGATTAACACACTAAGCCGAAAAGAAAATGAATGAATGAATATTGTGGACAGATGCCACAACCTTAGATGCTATGCATGATGGAAAAAGAACACCGTATTCCAGGAGAATAACATGCTCTCTACTATAATATATGGTTGAGGGCCCATCATGCTGAGGAAATGTGTGGCAAGCACAAGTACTGGATTAGGTCAGTTTTAGGTCACATGGATTCCATTCAGTATCAGCTGATTCTGAAGACCAATGTTCAGGAATCAGTCAAGAGGCTGAAGTTTGACAGAGTTGGATGTTTCAGTAGGACAATGAACCAAAGCACAGTTCTAGATCTACCAAGGAATTCATGCTCAGACACAATACAATGTTCTAGAATGGCCATCCCAGTCCGCAGACTCGAACATCATAGAAAATCTATGGATTGATTTGAAAAGGAACGTCCATGCTTGGCACACATCAAACCTGACTAAACAGTAGAAAATTGCAAGAAAGAATTGTCCAAAATGCTTTGAGCAAGAACTCAGGGACTTATCCTTGGATATAGACAAATTACTGGTTTGTAAACATTCAGGATGTGCACGCAGCTAGGTTGCAGAAAAAAAACTGGGAGCTCTAGCATTTACAGCAAGTGAATGACATCCGATGCCGTACAGAGTTTGTTGTTGCATTAGGCAAGTTATATTGATTACATATTATATATTATTTTTATAATGCTTTCAGGCTATTATTACAGTTTGTCACACAGTGATAAGCAGAGTGATTCGGCAAACTTAACATTAAAGTGAGCAGCGTTCCTCTGACAGGTTAATTTGCGATAGCACCCTCCCAGTGTTTATTGGATAAGATGAAATGACCAAGCATCCAGCCCCAAATATCTCATTGAAACTCCAAGTGATTCTACAAGAGAGAAGTTAAAGGCCTACAAGTGTTTGGATGTCTACAATTTTGTTGTGTGTGGTCATGAGCAAGAAATAATGTTCCATGATTACCAGATTCAAAACTTTGTAGTGCTAAAAATCAAGGTTCTGCCTAGCCAAAGACAAGGAAAGAAGACAGAACTGTACAAGGCCTGGGTAATCATCAACAAGCAAAACAACTGCATTCTGACAGTGAACTGCACCTGTACAGCAGGGTATGTGAACTTACGTTTTTAAAGTTTAAGTTTTCTATTTTTGGACTTTTACATTTGGCATTCTTCCACACAACATGACGTGTTTGGTATTGCAATCTGTCTTTTTTGCAAGCACTATGCGCTGTTGAACTCGTGTGACATCATGTGTGTTGTAGGTTGGTAATTCCCCTATAAGAAGCATCCAAAGGCTGCTATTTCACCAAAGGTGGTTGTACAAAAGATCTTTTTCTTTATTCTTTATTAAGAAGCCTTTATTCTGTTGAGGTGCCCAATTTTTTGCACCTGTTTTTTTTTTTTTTTTTTTTTTTTTTAAAGACTTTTAAGACATTTATTTAATCCACAGATGCAATACAATTTATTTTAGAACTGAAATGTTTATTTATTTTTTCTCCCTAGGGTATAAAATATATACAAATTATTGCTGATTTGAAAGGTCAGCAGGCTATGACTTGCAATTCTGAAAATTATCAGGGGTGGCCAAACTTCTGCATAAAACTGTTTCTCACTTTTTTTGTTAGCATTTTAAAAACGAAGAGTTAAAATTAGTTCAATTCAGGACTCAACATAAAAAGAAGAAAATAATCAAGTTTCTACTTGCAAATTAAAATACGTTAAATTTACTTGTTTATACAATATGTTCAGAAAAAAAAATACATGTTTAAACCTGGATGTCAAACCAGTCTTTTGCTGCATGGGTTGACAATAGCCAAAAATTGGATGGGTCAAAATATGGGTTGCTATTTTTTGCTAAAAATCATCAGAATATTTAAGTAAAGATCACGTTCCATGAAGATATTCTGAAAGTTTCCTACTATAAAAATAACATAATAGAATTATTCATATGCAGTGTGCATTGGTTTTCACAATATTTAGATTTTGTTTCAACCCTCATATTCCAGATTTTCAAATATTTGCATATCAGCCGAATATTGTTCTCAATTTCCCTAAAAAAAATTACACTTATGTCTGGTTTTGTGGTCTATGGTCACATTTTAAAATGCATTAATATCAAGGTTTAACACTAAGGATTTTTTCTACTGGCCTGATCGGGCCAGTGGTTCAGATTTTTACTTCCCTTGCCCAGTCAAGTCCCTTTTAAGGTGTCATTGCAAAAATGAACAAAACAATAGGCCTAATACAAAAATTTATACAATTAAAATATGGAAAAAAATATCAGATGGTGATTTCTGTCAATTTTCCTAACACATAAACAGCTCTCGTTAATATTTCAGCATGCTTTTACTTTCGTATTCGTCATGAAACGCACATAAACCAGTAAGAATGATGGCATCCCGCACTACTCCTCATTCTCTCCTCATATAGCCATATATATGGCTAATACACAACCATAATACACAGTGATATGGCCTGGTTTGTTAGTTCTTTGGATCATTGGTCACACTTTACAATAAGATTCATTAGTTAATGTTAAGTAATGCATTTACTAACATGAACAAACATTGAACAATACATTTACTACAGTATATATTCATGTTAATAAACGTTAGTTAATGAAAATACAGTAGTTCATTGTTAGTTCATGTTAACTCATGGTGTATTAACTAATGTTAACAAGCATGGACTTGAATGTTAATAATGCATTAGTAAATCTTCAATTATGATTAATAAATGCTGTACAACTGTTGTTCATGATTAGTTCATGTTAGTAAATGCATTAACTAATGAACCTTATTGTAAAGTGTTACCGGATCATTTTGCTTTCTCACTACAATCGATCCACTCCAGAGTTCAATTGATTTGGCAGCGATACGAGCACGATTGCGGGATTCACATATGCAAAACGAACTGCACTAACTGGGCAAACGAGACAGGTTCCAAAACAAATGTCTAGGTGTGAAAGCACTCCAAGACTGCCATAGCCAAATTAAACTTTAGTGACAAGGTAGTGACGATCGAGCCTGTAACAATCCTGTCTACTGTCCCGAGCCCCGGGCCATCAGGCAGTCCTTATTGTCCAGCTCCGTACATGATTTTAAATGTGGAAAAAAAAAATCTGCAAACAGTTTAAAGTAGGGATGTAACGGTATTGTAAATACCGTCATACCGCAATATTAATTTTTTTCGATATTACCGTAGTCGCATGACTCGGTAAAACTATAGGTCTTCTGAGAAAATTTGCACAGGCGAATGAAGCGAACGGGAGGTAGCGAAAACTACAATTCCCATCAGCCCAGGCTTGGCCATAATCCCTTGCGGTCTGTTGTCGCTACAGATCCAGTACTGCGGAAATGAAGTGTGCTGCTAGAAGCGGGGATGAAAAAGAGCTGGGTGTTGTCGCCGCGCGCGTACTGAATAGTGGTGTTGTCGCGCGAGTTCTTATCAGCTGTGTTGTCGCGCGCGTACTGAATAGCGGTGTTGTCGTGCGAGTTCTTATCAGCTGTGTTGTCGCGCGAGTTCTTATCAGCTGTGTTGTCGCGCGAGTTCTTATCAGCTGTGTTGTCGCGCGAGTTCTTATCAGCTGTGTTGTCGCGCGAGTTCTTATCAGCTGTGTTGTCGCGCGAGTTCTTATCAGCTGTGTTGTCGCGCGAGTTCTTATCAGCTGTTTTGTCGCGCGCGTACTGTAAAGCGGGGACGGAGGGTATGTCGCGTCGCGGGGGCACTTTTGA